GAAACCACGGTAAACCAGTACGACGCCGGTACTGTCTGTAGGTCCTACAATGATATGGACTGCTTTGGCTGGTGAGGCGCTAGCGTCTGATACGACGTTTTTCCGTTTCTGTACCGCACAAGCGAAGACACTTATTTTGAGTGGTACCATGTGGGTGGCGCCAGCATACCACAGGACTTGTTTCCGTTGTTGTGAGACGATACATGCTCATTCTTGTTCTGTGGTTGTCGTTCCGGCCTCAATGTTGCGAGGACCTACGGTGCGATTCGTATGATTTTATGTTGCGCGGTGCTCAAATTCCTAAGAAACCCAATGGTTTTTGAAGATTTCGGCGTGCGCGCGCGAAGAAAAAACGAATGTGTCCCGCATGGTATTATTTGACAGGGATGATGGCCCTGGCAGGTGCGCAACCGTTGTTGGAGAAGTTCGAAGCACGTGAAAAAGTTGCTCGCAAAAGCCCGTTTGACAGAAATGTTTACAAAGTGTTGGGTTTCCTACAAATCCGCAAGAGCGCGCGGGATGAAATTTTGACACTTTTGTTTTGAAAAACCATTTGTTTTTTGATGTTTTTATGTTAAAATCGCTACGAACACTAAGGTTTTGGAAGGATTTCGTCTTGCGCGCGCGAATGTCCCCTTTACCTCATTTTTTGCCAGGGATTCTTGAAGTTTGGTTATGTTAGAACAAGAAATGTCTACTTTGCCTTATTTTTTGCAAGGGAAAACCGCCCGTAACAAAACAACCGGTTCCGGACCAACCCGTTTTGCCGGAGACTTCCTCGCGAAAATGATGAAAACATGGTTGCGGCCTAGGCGCGGCGAGGGGGCCGTGCACCAGGGGTCCCAACAATAATTATTCTGTAGAAGTAATAATGTTCAACAACAACAACAGCAACAGCAACAGCAACAGCAACAACAACGACTCCCGCTTGAGCTTTCCTCCCGATGTATTCCCGAATCGCGCTCTCGCGCGGGACGCCCTCAAATTATACAGGAATCACGTTCTCGCATGGGACTTTTTCCGAATTGATTCAGGCGCCGCGCCCTCGACACTCAGGAATCACGCTCTCGATGTGGATGTCCTCACGATTTATTTGAAAATCGCGCTGTCGTTCGAGTTTCCCCCGCGATTCATGCAGGATTCACGCTTCAGCAACCCGCCTGCTCGACGTGGCCACCTGGGCCCGCCTTCCAGACCCGCCCGCTAGGGTCTACCCGCCCGATCTACATGTCTGGTTCTGCTTCGTGCGTTCTGCTCCTAGCGCCCCTCCCGCCATTTTCTATCGCGCTGCATCATCCGCCCTTCCCGTTGCCCCTTCCTTCCAACCGTACTCTCTACCCCCACCTCAGTCGCTGCACGAGCTACACGTTGCAGGTAAGAAAGACCAGCCCACAAGGGGATACGGTCGAAGACGAATTGGGGCGGGTATCGGGGGTTTGGTAAATACGCGTTGAATAGCACGCGAGCAGATAAGATCGAACCTTCGTAAACTGATTGTCGTCGTCGTTGTTGTTGTTGTTGTTGTTGGTGTTGGTGTTGGTGTTGTTGTTGTTGGTGTTGGTGTTGTTGTTGTTGTTGTTGTTGTTGTTGTTGTTGTTGCTGCTGTTGTTGTTGTTGCTGCTGCTGCTGCTGTTGCTGCTGTTGTTGTTGTTGTTGGTGGTGGTGGTGGTGGTGGTGGTGGTGTTGTTGTTGTTGTTGTTGTTGTTGTTGTTGTCTTTGTTGTCTTTGGTTTCTTTGTTGTTGGTGTTGTTGTCGTTGCTCTATTGTTGTTGCTCCGTTGATGTCGTCGTCCTCGCCCGCGACCCACCCGCGACCCACCCGCGACCCGCCCGCGACCCACCCGCGACCCACCCATCGACCCACCCTGCGACCCACCATGGACCCCCCCCTTGCCCGCCCCCCTCACTCGTATCGCGGCGTGCCACGTGTTTGTGATTAGGGGGGGGGCACATCATGGCGGGGGGCATGAGGTCTCCCCCGATGTCAGGGCGCCTCTCTTTCTATTTGAGTGAGGCCACCCCCCTGGGCCGCGCACGCGCCTCGGGCCCTGGCATGGGAGCCCCCCTCTTGGACGCCCCCTCGTGGACGCCCCTCGAAAGAGCGCCCTGCCGCCAGTTCACACAGGAGTCGGGGGCGGCCGAGAGTCAGGAGCGAAATATTGACGTGCACGTAAATGATTCCACGTTGGTTTCAAGAGTACGCGTTGCACGAAGGTTCGTAACCCGAGGCTGGTCTCGCGGTTTGGGGGGCCGTATTCATGTACGTGTTTGGGCGCGTACGTTTCTTGAAGGGTTCCCTGAAAAGGGGTGATGGCTAGGGTGGGTGCATGTCATGGTTGGGGCCATGATATGTCCCCAAGTGTCATGGCGCCTCTGATTATTTCAATACGTCCCCTGGCCCCCACCAGGGCCGCGCACGTGCCTCGGGCAATGATATGCGAGCCCCCCTGTTGGACGCCCCCCCGCTTTGGCGTCCGCCCGACCGCCAGCACCAATGAGCAAGGGTCGAAGAGCAAGAAGCAGCATAATCACAATTTCTCTGAGGCCCGCGCGGATTTCTTGGATCGGCGCTGGGCGCCCCTGGCAGCGCCTCTGGCGCCGACCCTTGGCGCGATCCTGGTCAAGCGCCGATCCACGATCCCAGTAATCCGCGCGAACCATTATGTTTCTATGAGGCTTCTTGTGTCTCGAATGCTAGTGCGGAGCGGGGCAAGAGGGCCGCCGCGCCGCCAGCTTTTAAACGGATCAAGCGGTGACAGTAATAATAATACTGGGAACAAGAAGACGAACAAGAAGAAGACAATCCAAGGGTTCAATATCCCACAAACAGTGCATGCACTTAAGGGTTCTTGCTTGTGATCAAAGGCAACGGGGTCCCGGTGGCGGTCTGGCCAGCTCGTCGCCGCCAGTCGCCGCCGTCGCCGCTGGGCCCCCAGCGGGCCCTGATGGCGGTCTGGCCCGCGCGTCGCCGCCGTCTCCGCTTGGTTCCAGTGGCGGTCCGGCTGGCTTGTCGCCCGCCCGTCGCCGCGTTGCTTCGCATTGCTTCGCACTGCCTCGCATTGCATTGCAATGCAGTGCAGTGTTTTGCGCCGCCTACGACCCTCCTCGAAGACAAACGCAAGTTCTGACCTAGATTGCACCACATTGATTGCACCACCCAGCTTGCGCCGCGCAGATTGCAAGAAGTCACTGTTGGGGGTCCGCGCTGGCTGATGTTTCTACTCTTATTTTTCAACGGCTTTTCGCATGATCCATATGGGGTTCTGAAGCGAGGGCCGCTTGAGGCTATGCATCCCGGAACGTTTCCTGAGCCAATATTATACTGACATCGTTCTCGCCCCACATTTGTCCACTCCGTCTTGACTTGAAACATTTGTCCCTGAGGCAGCGCGAGGTGGGGAAACTGGGCTCAGGGGGAGATCCATCGACCACTTATCGCTCATTCATCGCCAATTTGTTCACCGCGCCCAGGAGCGTGCGCATTTTCTATATCGGGGGCCGATCGCCGATCTATTTGCAATGTATCGCCGCTTCAAGGTCGGTGCTTTCCCCCATGATCCAGTCGCTCGCCCACCTCCTCCTCCTCATCATCATCCACCTCCTCCTCCTCCTCCTCCTCCTCCTCCTCCTCCTCCTCCTCCCTCTCCTCCTCCTCATGTATCGCCGATTCAAGGTCGATGCGTTCCCCCAAGATCCAGTCTCTCGATCCAGTCCCCACCCAAAATTGCCCATCAAACAATCTGAGGCCCGCGCATTTAAAAACTTCCAGCTGTCTGCGTCGACTCCCGCCACCGCGCCAGCGCAGCACGCCAGCAGGGAGGAGGAGTTTACGACCCGCTCCAGTTCAGTGCCCAGTCTGAACTAGCGCGAGTTTTACTTTATCCTCATCTTCGTTCTTCTCCGCGTTGCTTCAGATTCGCTCGCGTCCATGACTTTCCCTTTTGGGCGTCTCTGAGCTGTCCTGAGCGCGATGGTTCACTCACCATTCTGTCAGTGGCTCAGTGGAGCCATCCTGGTTGGGTTGGATATTTGGGCCGTCTTCGGAGCTTTCTCAGGCCGTCTCAGGACAGTCATGCCATCTTTAGTGCGTCTGGGCTATTCGGAAGCCTTTATGTGGCACCGTTGCCACCGAACGGAGCACATATTTGGATCTCTTTGGTCTGTCCATGTCCTCTGATCCCAGGCCCTCGGCGGAGGCTCCCCCCGGCGCTTCGTCGAGTTTGTTGGTGTGTCTTCGGGTCTCTTGGGGGCATATTGGAGCTTTGCGCTGGTCGTCGGGCCTTTCAGGATTGATCTTGTGGCATCTTGCAAGCGTCGTTGGGGGGATCGTAGGCCGTTTGGGAGGTCGTTGGGGGCGATGAATGGCTCCTCTTGGGAGGGGGGGCATCTTGCAAGCGTCGTTGGGGGGATCGTAGGCCGTTTGGGAGGTCGTTGGGGGCGATGAATGGCTCCTCTTGGGAGGGGGGGCGGTCCCTGCAGGGTACGGCCGCCGAGGGCGGAGGTCGCCCCTGCAACAAACAGCCGCACAGGCAACTACTAGTCATGCTAACATGCCAAGTTGTCTAACGTTCTAGCTGGCACAGAACAGACAGCCAGGGACATCATTCAAGCATTATAGTCAACATTCTGCGCCTCCTCATCGTCGTCGCTGTCATTATATGGTATGGCTCTGCGTTCGTATTCCTCTTCACGCCCCGCCCCCTGTGCTCGGCTCGTCATCATCGTCGTCCTCGCGCTCCTACTGCGCGTCTACCCTTCGCTCGCTCCTCTATCACCTTTTGTTTCCTCCGTCCCTTCTACTGCCCCTTGGCAACGCTCGGAGGTGCGCATTTTTATTTCGACGGGGACCATCGAGGAGCTGCCTGGACCATCGAGCAAAAAAGAGACGAAATCGACAAATGCACGGGGGAATGGACGTCCGATCGATGGCGAGGCCCAGTCATCCTCATCAGCCGTGTCCATCCATTGAGTCTTACGTTGCCCTCGCCCGGCAGCCCACAGGGGGCAAGCCTTTGGTCGGCTGGAGGCGGCGCCGCCTCCGCTTGCCAGCTGCCCCGGGGAAGGCCGTTCTCTTCCCTTGGCTGCTCCTCCTCCTCCCTCACCGCTCCCTCCGTTCCTCATCCCCCGAACCAATTTGGGCTCGAGGGCTATTCTCTGCACGCTGTCATATCGTCCTGGCACAGTATCCCCCGCACCGGGTTCAGCAGGCGTTTTTTTCCCGCGGCAGTTGGAGCTTTGGGGCCTCACCTGAGGTTTTTGAAAGATATACGGATATACGGACCTTTATCAGGTCATGAATACTTGTGGTTGGCTTTCGCCCGGAGGAGATTGGGCAACTGTCCAAAGCCATTCTCCGCATCGTTTTTTAATTGTGCCCCCCCCCCACACACACCCAGGGCATTGCCAGCGAAGCTGAGTTGTCGGCGGGTGGCACGCTCGACGTCGGCCAGTGGAACCGCCAGAGAGGTGAATCAATATTCCGTGAGCGACAGGAACCTGGCTACTAGCTCAGGGGAGCACCGAGAGGACAAAATGGCCCAGACCCTGCTCACGATGGAGCACTTCGCCGCAGCCAGCGCGCAGTCGCAGAGTCAAGCTCAGAACAAGTGCGCGCAGTATTTGCCAAGCGCTACTCCAAGCAATCTCCCAATCAAGGCCCACTTCCAGACAACGCCGAGAAGATCAATCCTGACAGCAGGCTGGATGGGGCCCAACAGGTTCAAGCACAGTTGGCAGGCGTCGCCATCTTTTCACCCGCCGAGCCGCACAATCGAACATGATTCGCCTATGCAGCCCTAGTTGCCGACGCCACCCGCCCGATACCCACATTCACCCCCCAACGCAAGCCTTTCAGGTGGCGGACCTGGCCTGGCAGATTGGGGTGCTCCCTCGCTGAGAGGCCCAGTGCTGGAGCGCTCAGTGCCGCGCTAGGGGCAGGCGTCGGCCTGGAAAGGATCGCCCTTGGCTCTGGCCAAGCACGTCATCAGCGACATGATGGATCTCGTGAGCAGTGAGCATGTGGATCGCCTTGGTCGGGCCGGCAGCGTGCAGCTGCTGCGCGGCATTGGCGCACTTCGCGTCGTGGCCGTTGCCTCGGGGCCTGAAGAAGTCTGCGTCGCGCCTCCTGGCAGCGAGGACGCTCTGCAGTTTGGCGTGCCTCCACCCCTCCGTAGTTTACAGCGCTGCTCACGACCGAAGTTTCCCAACGTGCAGTTGGCGACGCGGTTCTTAGCGAACCCATCGACAGCATCGCATCTTGTTGTGATAAATTCGAAGTGGTGGCCAGTTGGTGCTGTTGGCTGGCGCCATGGCTTGCGACGCCTGTCCGCTCGTCATGTAGCCCTAAATCATTGTATTTACTCTTATCGACATCGCTGTACCCAAATTTGCCTTGGGTGAGCAGGACGCAACAGCAGGCAGAGAGTGGGTTCTGAATTAGCGTGGTTGGACGAGCAGTCCGCTGGTTCGCACTCGTGTTTGAACTTGTTGATCTCAGCAGGCGTTTTTTCTCACCCGCGCTTCAGCACTGGCCCTGCTCCTCGTAACGCTTGGGCAATCTGAAGCCTCTGTATGATATCGAGGTGGTTGTCTCCTTCGTATTTCCATGCGTTGTGTCTCTCTCTCTCTCTCTTTTTCTCTGTCTATCTCCCGGCATCCCCCTCGCTGCGAGGTTCGGGCGTCAACCCATGTCTTCTCGTGCTGGTGTGAACGTCCAATCCAAAGCCGTTCATCATTTTCCCTCCTCCCTCATCATTCTTTCGCCCCCGTTATCGTCCACACCCCTCCCCATCCCCTCCACAAATACACATTTACGCACATACATCTCTCATTTTATGTTATGCGCATGTTGTACAAATCTCGTCATTGATAGTGCACACACACACACTTGTGTTTACACAGCACCCCGCAGATGCGGATAAGAGTGAGGGGGCGGTGGGGACGTTGGCAGTCTGCGAGACTCTGGAGAAGTCCGCCGCAGGCGCCGAAATTTCACACATTACACAACGAGCCCGCCGCAGGCGCCGATTTTTTCTTCAAACCAATGTGGATCGGTCGCGGGTGGGTCGCGGGGTGGGTCGCGGGTGGGTCGCAAAGTGTGTCGCGGGTGGGTCGCGGGTGGGTCGCGGATGGGTCGCGGGTGGGTCGCGGGGTGGGTCGCGGGGTGGGTCGCGAGTGGGTCGCGGGTGGGTCGCGGGTGGGTCGCGGGTGGGTCGCGGGTTGGGTCGCGGGTGGGTCGCGGGGTGGGTCGCGGGGTGGGTCGCGGGGTGGGTCGCGGGGTGGGTCGCGGGGTGGGTCGCGGGGTGGGTCGCGGGCGGGTCGCGAGGGGGACGACGACAACAAAAAACAATTATCCCGGCAAAGCAACCTAACAGCGATGTGTATAAGCATATTTGGAAGCATTCCCCTTAAGACTCAGGTGAGAATCCAGTTGTAGAATTCTGCTGTTCTCGCAGTCGCAGTCGCATTCGCAATGACAGTCACAGTGGCAACGGCTTTAGGATCCAATGGAATCCTAAGGATTCCTAGGGATTCCTAAGGCATCCTTAGGAAACCATAGGAATCCTTAGGAAACCTTAGGAAACCTTAGGAATCCTTAGTAATCCTGATTCATAGGGATTCCTGGGGATTCCTAAGGATTCCCAGGGAATCCTAAGGATTCCTAAGGATTCCTGAGGATGCTTAACTATACCTACGGATTCCTAAGGATGCCTACGGATTCCTGAGGATTCCTAGGGATTCCTAAGGATTCCTTCCTATGGATTCCTACGGATGCCTCAGCCTGATTCCTAAGGATTCCTATGGATTCCTACGGATGCCTCAGCCTGCCTCAGTTTCAGCCTCAGCCTCAGCCTGCCTCGGCTTGCCTCAGCCTCAGCCTCAGCCTGCCTCGGCCTCAGCCTCAGCCTGCCTCAACCTCAGCCTCAGCCTGCCTCGGCCTCAGCCTGCGTCAGCATCAGCCTCAGCCTGCCTCAGCCTCAGCCTCAGCCTCAGTCTCAGCCTGCCTCAGGCTTGCCTCAGCCTCTCAGCCTCAGCCTGCCTCGGCCTCAGCCTGCCTCGGCCTCAGCCTCAGCCTCCCCTCCTCCCCCCCCCTTCCCCCCCCATTCAGCCTCACCTTGTCTCAGCTTCGGCCTGCCTCGGCCTCATCCTCAGCCTCAGCCTCAGTCTCAGCCTCAGCCTGTCTCGGCCTGAGCCTGCCTCGGCCTCAGCCTCAGCCTGCCTCAGCCTCAGCCTGCCTCAGCCTCAGCCTCAGCCTGTCTCAGCCTCAGCCTGCCTCAGCATCAGCCTCAGCCTCAGCCTCAGCCTGCCTCGGCTTGCCTCGGCCTCAGCCTCAACCTGCCTCGGCCTCAGCCTCAGCCTCAGCCTCAGCCTGCCTCAGCCTCAGCCTCAGCCTGCCTCAGCCTCAGCCTGCATCAGCCTCAGCCTCAGGCTGCCTCAGCCGCAGCTTGCCTCAGCCTCAGCCACAGCCTCAGCCTACCTCAGCTTCAGCCTCAGCCTCAGCCTGCCTCGGCTTGCCTCAGCCTCAGCCTCAGCCTGCCTCAGCTTCAGCCTCAGCCTCAGCCTGCCTCAGCCTCAGCGTCAGCCTCTCAGCCTCAGCCTGCATCAGCCTCAGCCTCAGCCTCAGCCTGCGTGAGCCTCAGCCTCAGCCTGCCTCAACCTCAGTCTGCATCAGCCTCAGCCTCAGCCTGCCTCGGCCTCAGCCTGCGTGAGCCTCAGCCTCAGCCTGCCTCGGCCTCAGCCTGCCTCAGCTTCTGCTTCAGCCTGCCTTGGCGTGCCTCAGCCTCAGCCTCAGCCTGCCTCGGCCTCAGCCTGCCTCGGCCTCAGCCTGCCTCAGCTCGGGCATTAAAAAGATGGCACAGGACTAGTGTTCTGGGAACACGAAGATCACGAAGTGGCCCACAGTTGGCTCTGGGCAATCAAAATATGGTACAGGAATTGTGTTCTGGGAACACGAAGTGGCCTACAGTTGGCTCCGGGCAATCAAAATATGGTACAGGAATGGTGTTCTGGGGACACGAAGATCACGAAGTGGCCTACAGTTGGCTCCGGGCATTCAACATGTGGCCTGGGAATGGTGTTCTGGGAAGACGAAGAACACGAAGTGGCGTACAGTTGGCTCCAGGCATTCAAAATGTGGCCTGGAAATGGTGTTCTGGGAACAGAATCTGTAGGAATCCATAGGAAACTATAGGAATCTATAGGAGTCCTGGGGAGTCCCCGGATTCCCTTGATTCTCCCGGCACCCGCCCAGACCCCCCTGGGGAGTCAAGATGTTTTTTTGACCCCACTAGAAACCTATCAGTCTGCACTGTTAGGTAACGACAACGCAACAAGCAGAATCCTCACCAGGGACTCTCACTTCAGCCACGCACCCAGGGATAATGAATGACCGTTCGGCCCCCTCACTCTGATATGTGCACATGTTGTGTGCAGTGTGTGTGTGTGTGTGGGTGCGAGTGTGTGTGTGTGTACATGTCGCCCGACTTTTCGCCACTGACTACGTGAGCATTTGAATCACAGCGTATCCGTATGGACTCCTGTGATTACTCGCATGAGGCCACCGCAACCTGTTCACATGCCATCGTGCTGGCCACGCGCTGTGGTGTTGGCGGCACGCGTAATGAAGGAACCCAGAGACGAGAGTCACCATGAGTCTCTGTGGAGTCGATGTTTCGTATACGTTCGATCGTGCAGAGGTGCTATACGTCATGGCAGTCCCATGGGTAGGCCAGAAAAATAATCAACTGTTGGAGAAGCGTGAGAGGCGCGCGCGCGCGACCACAATCATGAGCGATTGCATTGCTTGCCTGCGCATCGGATTGGGTATCGAATCGCCTTGTGCACTTGTCTTTCCGACCGCGGGGACGTGTGCTACTTTGACCCCTCTCCTGTACCTCTCGTCGTCCCCGCCCTGTCCCAACACTTCCCGTCCCCACACTTGCCGGCCCCTTGCTTGCCCCCTACCCTTCGCCCCCCTCCTCACCCCCATCCCTCTCTTTGCCACCCTCCTCCACTCATGGTCCTCCGCCTCGGCCCCCCCTCCCAATCCTTCTTGGCCCCCTCCCACCCCCGTCTCCTTGGCACCGCCTTTTTATCTTCTCCCTACTCGTCATATGCGTTCTCCCTCCTGCTGACCTTCCCGATGCTGTCCGATTGCCTCCTGAGCGCGGTGTGACGCCGTCGTGCCGTCGCCCATCCGCCATGATTTTCTTGCGGAGTGGCAGAAGGACCTCGTGACAGTCGTCGGGCTCGGACGTCCTGCATTAAGCGCCTCCAGCTCCGGGGGGTAGAAGCGATGATGATGATGATGATGAGGAGGAGGAGGAGGAGGAGGAGGAGGAGGATCGCTTCTGGTCCGATCGGTTCGATGATGCGTGATTGTGTCTGCACGTGGCATCGATCGGTCCGATTAGGTACCGCCAGGTGTGGCGTCTTTGTTCCATGGAGGCGGCTCGATTATGTTACTTTCAATTATGCCAGCGGTTCGACCGCTCTGCGGTTCGCAGCAGCCCTTGGACAGCCATGGAGGAGAACGAGGAGGAGGAGGAGGAGAAGGAGGGATGGTTGTTTCCATGTGCTCTCCGTCCGGCTGGATTGATCACGCGATTTGCACAACGCTTCGTGGGATGAGCACATGGGGCGCTGCCTACAATGCGGCGGTCCTTTCAGGGGAGCGCGCCGACTTCGGCCAGAACCAGGGCCCTGCGCCGAAACCGATACGCTCTACGCCAGCGCGCACGAATTGGCGTCGTCCCGCGCTCGAAAGATTGCATTGGGGGGGGGAAGCGTCAACAGGAGCTGGCAGAGCTCTAGGAGCAGGAGGGTTAGGAAGAGGAGGAACGGCAGCAGCGGGTGCCAGAGTTGCGCGTGCAGGAGGCGGAGAGTTCCTGCGCCTCGTGCTGCACCCTCCTGCTCCTGCTTCTTCCCTCGGTCACGGCAGGGGCCCAGGGCCCAGGTCCAAAGGCAGATTGGCGTTCACCCGTAAGGCCCTTCGGAGTCCGCATTGCACGATTTGTCATGCCAGACTGTTGTTTTGCTCAGGTCTCCATGAGTTGCTGATTGCTTGTTTGCTTGTTTGCTCCATCCATCACTCTTCATCTCTTGTCCCGTCGCGTGACCTTTGATCCTTTCTTTGCCTCCACTTCTCCACCGATCCATCCTCTCCTCGGACAACCCTTCATCCTCCTCGCCCTCCCCCCTCCTCCTGTCCTCCCATTCTTCCTCTCTGCCCCTCCTCACCTTCTCCCCTCCATCTTTCTGCTCCTTCCTTCTGAGTCGTCTCCTCCCCTACCCATCTCCTCCCCTCCGTCCAGTCTTCGTTCTCAATCCTCCTCTTCCTCCTCCTCCTCCTCCTCATCTTCATCATCTTCATCCTCAGTCTCATCCTCATCCTCTTTCTTCTTCTTATAACGTTCATTGTTCGTATTATTCATGTGCTTATTCTGTTTCGTTTTCCTCCTACCTCCCCCAGATCACGCGCGCGTGTCGCCCCTGGTGTTGCAAAATGCCAAGAGAATCCCAAAGACGATGCTCCGCGAAAGGGTCCGACGTCTCATATCTTTGGGGTATTCCCAGCAGTTGCTGGAAGCATCGTGCTGCGATCGCTCTGGTCAGCCGTTCAATTCGAGTCTGCTCTTGGTAACCGAGTGTCCAGGTGCCGCTGGCCGTGCGACAATCTCGATTTCACAAGTTGCCCACGCCAGCGTTGACGATGGTCTCCACGGAGCCCGTCTCTGTCAAGGCTGCGTGCCCCCTCCTCCGTTGGCGGCCGGCGGAGGAAAGCTGCAGGCCAAGAGCATCTGATGACGGTGGAGCGTTGGATGTGCATGCCCGCCGCAAGGAGGGGAAGGGGGGGGAAGTGTGTTCCCGTCACCGTCGCACGGGAGGAGAAGGAGGAGGAGGAGGAGGAGGACGAGGACGCGGAGGAGGAGGAGGAAGAAGAAGAAGAAGAGGAGGAGGAGGAGGATGAGGAGGAGATGGGGGGAAGAAGGGTGTTCCCGTCACCGTCGCACACGAGCATGGGAGAGGAGCGGGAGCGGGCGCGGAAGCGGGGGCAGCAGCAGGAGCAGGAAGCCGGAAGCAGGAAGCCGGAAGCAGGAGGGAGGAGGAGGATGGAGTGAGGGAGGAGGACGGAGGCGAGAGAGTCGGGGAGGGAAGGTATAAGAGGGGTGGGGGAGACGGAGAAAACATAATGTATGGGACGTCAATCATAATAGTTATTGCTCTCCATCTGTTAATCGCTGGAAGGCGTTAATACGAATGTGCGCGACGCTGAAGCGAGAGCCAAAGTCAATTGACTGCCATCCACCCATGGAGCTGCCGCAATGTTTGAGCGTGAGGATCAAAACCTGTGAGGAATTGTTAGGCGAAGCACCCAACCAACCCTACTCAGGGTGTGACAAGGAGGAGTTGTTTATGAAGAAAGGGGATGGAGGAGGAACGGCTGAAGGTTGAGCTTGAGCATGAGCAGGAGTGGACGCAGCAGCGGGGCAAGAGGCGGAAACAGGAGGAAGAGGGAGGAGGAAGAGGGAGGAGGAAGAGGGAGGAGGAAGAGGGAGGAAGAGGGAGGATAAGGAGGAGGAGGAGGAGGCGGAGGCGGAGGGGGCGAAGGGAGGCCAGAGAGGAATGCCAAGAGGCAGGGAAAGAGGAGAAGGAGAAGGAGGAGGAGGAGGAGGGATGATGGAGTAGCAGGAGGAGGAGGAGGAGGAGGAGGAGGAGGAGGAGGAGGAGGAGGAGGAGGAGGAGGGGGGCCGGAGGGAGGCCACTCTGACCTGGCCATTTGTGAAAACGGGGAGGAGCAGCAGGAGCAGAAAGGGGCGGGGAGGCCTGCTCGTAGCGCAGCCCGCTTGGGCCTCTCCAGCGAGGAGCGGCCGAGATGTGTGTGCTCGCGGGCGGAATTCAGGCGAAGTAAGCGAATTGAGCCCGCTTGCGCTGCGCCGCGGCAAAAAAGCAAGTGGGCGAGCGATGGCCACCGCCACCGCCCCAACGACGGCGGCGGCGCGATGACGGTCCGACGGCGACGACGACGGCAGCATTAGGACAAGGGGAGGGGGATGGTGGAGGGGGTGGGCGTGTATGGGGGGAGGACGAGGTGGGGACGTGCAGGAGGAGGAGGACGAGGGAGGATAGGGGAAGGAGAAGGGGGTATGCCACGCAGCTCTGGACGGAGCCGTGAAGCAGGTGGAGGTGCGTGAGTTCGAGGAGCAGCAGAGCGAAGAAGGCGGAGGAAGTAGGACGAGGAGGGAGCTGCTGGTCGACAGGATCGAGGCGGGATGATATGTGAGGTGGGACGAGGTTGGAAAAGGAGGAAAGAAGGAGGAGAAAGGAGAGACTAGGGATGGCAAGGAGGATAAAAGGCAGAATGGGGAGCATGAGACGAGGGGAAAGGGGCTTGGATTGAGTCGTTACTGCCGCTGCCCTTGCCCATCTGTTGTGCTGCGAACCAGCGCGCGCGCGTCCGCGCGTTTGGTTCAGAACAACGCCCGGCACGCCGGGAGACTGTCTTCCAGAGCTGGCACCGAGGAAGTGGCCAGTGTCATCGGGAGCGGCGAGGGAGAACTCGCCATGCAGCGTTAATTTTAAGTCGGGCGTGTCCCCCTACAGGAGGAATATTCAAACATAGTAAAACCAAAAAATAGTCTGGGAACTATTTCCCAACCATCCTGTGGTGTTGGGTCCTCGTTTTGAAGAGACAGCGCCCCGCGTCCCACCTTCCTCCTTCCCCTCCTCCCCACCCCCCCTCCTCCTTCCTCCCCCTCCTTGCTTCGTTTCGTAGCCCCATAGGGGGCTCCACCGAAGGCCCCAGTGGGGGTGCCCGCATGCGGTTCCCCCCACCCAGCGCAGCGTTCCGTGGCCCCATAGGGAGCTCCACCGAAGGCCCCAGTGGGGGTGCCCGCATGCGGTTCCCCTGCCCCGGGGAGCGTTCCGTGGCGCCACAGGGAGCTCCACCGCAGGCCCCAGTGGGGGTACCCGCATGCGGTTCCCCCACCCAGGGCAGCGTTTCGTGGCCCCACAGGGAGCTCCACCGAAGGCCCCAGTGGGGGTGCCCGCATGCGGTTCCCCCACCCAGGGCAACGTTTTCGTGGCCCCACAGGGAGCTCCACCGAAGACCCCAGTGGGGGTGTCCGCATGCGGTTCCCCCACCCAGGGCAACGTTTTCCTGGCCCCACAGCTCCACCGAAGGCCCCAGTGGGGGTGCCCGCATGCGGTTCCCCCTCCCATGGCAGCGTTCCTTGGCCCCACAGGGAGCTCCACCGAAGGCCCCAGTGGGGGTGCCCGCATGCGATTCCCCCACCCAGGGCAGCGCTTCGTGGCCCCATAGGGAGCTCCACCGAAGGCCCCAGTGGGGGTGCCCGCATGCGGTTCCCCCACCCAGGGCAGCGTTTCGTGGCCACAAGGATCTCCACCGAAGGCCCCAGTGGGGTTGCCCGTTCCCCCACCCAGGGCAGCGTGTCGTGGCCCCACAGGGAGCTCCACCGAAGGCCCCAGTGGAGGTGCCCGCATGCGGTTCCCCACCACCACCACCACCACTGTGGCAGGCCCCTCACACAGTTCGTGGCCCCAAAAGGAGCTCCACCGAGGACTAGATTCACAACTGCGGTACTCACAGCTGCATATGGTTGGGTCCCTGGCCAGGCTATTTTTTTTTGTTTTTTGTTGCCATTTTGGAGTATATTTGGAGTGTGTTTTATTTTTCGTCGAAAATCCCCCTGTAGGGGGGCAGACCCGACTTAACGTTAATTCTCATGCAGCAAGGACAGCACATGAGGAAAACCACGGATTGTTGGGTGCGAAAGGGGTTCGCTCTGTACCGTCGCAGCCTGCGACGCCTCATCATCAAGCCCCAGAGAACAGTGGAGGTGGACCGATGACGGATAGCGCCAGGGCGCACGTTGGTGACAGTGGCTCTGCCGCTGGGCCTTCGCTTCCGCATGCCACCACTTCCAGGCTCGGTCAAACAGGGGGAGGGAGCTGCTCGTCGTTTCCGGTGGCTCCCTGGGTACCGACGCTGGAACGGGGAAGGACAGCTGAACGGCAAGCATCCGCTCCGCTGCAGATGCGCTCCGACAAAGAAAGGTTCAGCAGCGATCGTCTCGCCCCCAGTACGTCGAAGGACAGGAGGCAGAGGTCCAATTCGATCCACGATTTTGTTGGTAAGCGCGGTCTTGATGGTCGAGAGATGTTGGATGCCGACCTCTGAGTGCGCAGCGAATGCGGACAATCGCTGTCCAGGAAGATCGTGGCGGTGTCCGAGATCGGTCAGTTACGCGTGTTCGCAGGTCTGCGTGCACCGCAGCGTCAACCATCTCTGCGAAGAGCGTTCCCGACAATGGCAACACAATTGTTTAGGCCTCAGTCATGCCGAGCGGGAGGCTGCGAAGCAGCAAGGGGAGAGCAATATTAATCAGATGGAGGAGATGACCCAAACACAAATGCAACAGCACGCCGTTGGTCGAGTAGAGAAATAACCAGCAACCAAGACTCGCGAGATGGAATTGGCGGCCGAGGGCCGAGAAGGACGTCTCGCCGCCGAGGAGGTTGAGACGACTCAGATGGCATTTGAAACGCGAGAGGCCGAGGAAACCGCTCGCATCGCAGAGGGAGCCACTATGAGGAGTCCAGAAGCAGAACTGGCTGAGGCGTGCGAGAAGGCCGGGAGGAGGACCCATGCTGGGAAAGCTTTCAGAGCCCAAGAGGCTGAAATGACTGGCTCGAAAGTAGTAGACCGTGACGAAACGGCAAGGTCAGAGTAAAGGGCCAGACAAGAGTTGAGGACCAGGCTGCCCCAGGCTGAGATCGCGGCGGCCGCCGCGCCGGCATCGGCGACCGTTGCCCTCGCCCAGCATGCGGCCGTGGCGACGGCCGCAGTTCGAAGTGGCGCCGCAACCGAGTCCGGAGGTGGGAGGGCTGCCCGATGTTGCGTGCGCAATTTTCTGAAGTGCGCCGACTGCGTCAAATGCGGGAACCCTTTATGCATTAAGGGCCAGCGCAATGCACGGCTCCACCGGCGTCTGAGATGTCGCGGGAAAAAGGCAGGATGCCGAGGCGCGCATGGAAGCGGTAGAAGAAGAAGAAGACGAAGAAGAAGAAGAAGAAGATGCAAAGCGCAGGCGGCAGAAAGAGCACCTGGAGCGCCTAGTATAAAAGGCGAGCGCATCAACGAGAGAGTTATGGAGAGAGAGAGAGAGAGAGAGAACGGAGAGAGAACGAGAGAGAGAGAGAGAGAGAGTCGGATTACAGCAGTGACACGACCGTTGGTGGATTGCCACTGCGGATGCCCAGGCACGTCGGATCTAGGAAGCAAATGCCAGAGCCAATGCGGAGGAAAACATCGCCGAAACGAGCTTACGGAGGGGACCGAGAGACTGGAAGAAGAGGCTCGTGTCCGAGCGGCTGATGAGCGGGGAGACATAGTGACCGCTGAACGCAGGTGAATGGAAAAAAGACCGAGCGGTCGGGGGAAATGATTGAAGCCGATGCCGCACAGGAAGCTGCTGAGGCGATCCCTTTCGATCCGGCACTAGAAGTCGACCGCGAGGCTCCAAAACCGATTGGAGACCAGACGCTGTTGGGAGACGACGAACCACCGCGAGCGGCCCCAGGTCGGGCACTCCTTGAAAGGGGGAGGAGATGACGGTCCCGGGGGCGGCGGCCCCGGAAATTGAGGCGGCCCCGACCAGGGTGCAGGGGTAGGCGGACGCGACCCCAGCTCTGGACGGTGTCAACCTTTGATCAGCCCTGACAGCGCGGCCTTGAAGAACAGGGATCGCCCTGGGGGACGTCGCGGTCTCGGAGGACCGCCGGATGGGAGTGGCCCCGGCCGCCGCGGGAGGCAGCGGCGCAAAATTTGCCGCCGCGCCAGGAGGGGGGG